TTGGCGTGTGTTATTAGAAAGCTTGGGGCGGGACAGCACTTGGCAGCGGGTCACAGGGTGGGGAACCCCGCCATGGCGGTGACCTGGTGGCCGACTTGGCGACTAGATAAGCTCCTTCCGGCTGAGTCAGCTGGGCTCCTGGGGTTGGCACGGGCCAGGGCACTGTGCCAGGGATGGTGGGCGGGCACGGTCGCCGCCTGCCACAGCTCACTGGCTGGGAGCCAGCAGCCACAACAGCTTTGATGAGGCCGCCCGGGGGCTTCCTGACACCTCCCGGTCCACTGCTCAACTCAGGGCCCAAGGACCCGCAGCCAATGCTGGCTCCAGGCCCGGGGACAAACACACTTGTCTGTCAGGCCCCAGACAGGGATGCCTGGGGAACCTGAGGCCCCACACACACACACACACACACACACACACACACACACTCACACCCCGGGCATCAAACAATCTGGCTGGCACACCCTCCTGCTGGAAAACGTTAACTTACCTTCCAACCCCCAGCTCCATAGGCCTGGAAGATCCAGGTCCACCTAGCCACCCAATACCTCTCCATCCCCCACTGCCCCAAACTAAGGTCAAGTCTGGTCTTCTAGAGCATTGTGTTCCAGGAAGTAGACCCTACTGCTTATGCCTGTTGGGGAACTCTAACACACCCTGCGAAACTCCAGCTACAATAGCCCTTCTTTAGGCCACTTTCCCTAAACTACTTCCTGTGGTCCAGCCCTGTGTCCACCTAGTGGCTGACCAGCCCCTCTGGTGTTGGGAAACATCAGGTACCAAGGTTCTCCCCCAGGCAGACGCACGTGAAGGTGATAACATCACACAGAATGGAGAAACACAGCATGTGAGGCTCCGAGTGGACAGAATCCATCAGCCCTGCCCAAGCCCCAGACATCTGGTTATCCATATCTTGGTGTGAGGACAGGATGGGAAACCCGGAAGTCAGGGACTTTAAAAAAAAAAAAAAAAAAAAGAGGGCCAATGAGATGACTCAGTGGGTAAAGGAGCATACACCATTACATGTGTTCCTCACCAAAATAAATAAATAAATGTAATATGTATTTTCTGAATGGGATAAAGAGGAAGGGTGTGGTGGGGGATTCCAGCACTTGGGAGGCTGAGGAGGCAGGAGGATGGTGAATTCTGGGTCAGGGCTTCTTTCTTTGTTTAATGAGATAGGGTCTCATGTAGCCCAGGCTGGCCTCAAACTCAATATGCAGCTAAGGATGACCATGAACTCCTGATTCTCCTGCCTGTACCTCCCAAGTGCTAGGATGACAGATGTGTGCCACCGGGACTGGTGTTATGTGGTCCTGGGGATGAACCTAGGGCTCAGTGCACGCTAGCCCTCTGAACAACAAGCACTCTACACACTGAGCTATAATCACTCTACTGAGCCATAGCACTCTACACACTGAGCAACAAGCACTGTACATATTGAGCTACAAAGCATTCCACAAACTGAATATAGCCCTACTTATTTATTTTTGAGACAGGGTCTTGCTCTTAGCCAGGCTGGCTTTGAACTTGATGCTGCTGCCTGGGCCTCCCCTGTGCTGGGATGACAGGTGTGGGCCACCATACCTGGCTCATTTCTGTAGTTCTGAGCTCAGACTCAGGTTATATGGTGAGTGGAGATGGCTAGAGCTCAGAGTGGAAAGTGAGGAGTGTCAGTGAGGACACAGGGGAGCCAAGCCCTGCACACAGAAACATGAACTGAGCTGCAGTTCCCTAATAGGTGCCTACAGACTTACTACCCTACCTAGCAATTTCAATCCAGGTACACGCCCAGCAGAAACAAGAATATGCCCATGTAAAATCTCCTACAGCTCTGTGGAACCCAAATGCAGAAACAACCTAGTGTCCACCACAGATAGGAGATGGACACATAGCGTGGTCCACCCACACACTGGAGTATTACATAGCCCTGAAGAGGAGGAAGCTCCGACACACACCACAGCATGGGGAGACCTCAAGGGCATGGTACTCAACAAGAGACCAAGACACAAGAGGACACAGTGCCAGGCTCCATGACAGGAAGTACCCAGAGCAAGAGAATTCAAGGACAGGCAATGGATGTATGGTGCTGGGGGCTGGGGAACAGGACAGGTGACAAGATGTGGTGGAGCATAATTTTAGTCCCAGAACTGGGAGGCAGAGGCAGGGGGATTTCTAGGAGTTCAAGGCCAGCCTGGATTATATACTAAGACTTCTAGTCAAAAAACCAACAACAAAAAACTAACAAGAACATCAAACAAACAAAAACCTATAATAGCCTGCCAGTTTGAAAATCACTCTGTGGTGGGTGTAGCAGTGTAGGGACAGGAAGGCAGAAGGATGCACGTCCCATGCCAAGACTGAGCCCAGGTCATTGCCCATTGCCAGCGATCAGACCCACAGCCTAGGGCGGAGTCCAGCTGTGTCTGACCAGCTGGTGGAAGCAAGCTATGGCCCAGACCAGTAGGAAGACCAGGGAGACAGTGCCAAGTGGCCAGTACCGCCATGTGCCAGAGGGGTGGATGCCAGAGTCAACACAGGCTGGGCAAAATCTGTGGGACCACTGTTGACATGGATCACAAAGGTGCCAGGCCAGCCTAGGCCAGATGCCCAAATGGCCACATAGAGGCAGACAGGGTAACCCAGGGCCAAGGACCAGTTGCTGTCTGTGGACATCATCACCAAATCCATCCTCACTGGTCCTTGATCTCACCAAGATTTGCTTGCCTCTGTTTCCCAAGTGTGCGGGTTAAAGGCATGCACCACCATGCCTGGCTTTATACATGCTCCTGCTCCTGGGATTTGAACTCCTGTCCTCACGTTTGCATAGCAAGTGCTTTACCCAAAGAGCCATCTCTCTATTGTGTGCATTTAATATGTATGTGTGGTGTTTGTCTCTTAATGCATGAGTCCAGCTGTGAGATGAGGGTAAAATGGAGACCAGCCTGGGCTACATAGTGAGTTCTAGGCCAGCCATTTGCAAAATGTGTTGCACAGCAGCAGAGCACACCTCTGACGGACCAGGGAAACTGAGACACAGAATGAGGTAGACCAGCACAGCACATACCCAGCCAAGCTAAATACTGAGTGATTTCCACATAAAACCCTGAGACTCTCCAGTGAGCCAAGCCACAGAGCTCACAGCTAACTTCCAGGCCTGAGGCGGGACTCAGTCACACCCAGCAGCCAGTGACGTCCCTTGATAGGTCAGTTGGCCACTGGCCCAATGTGCACCTCAGCAGGCAATCTTGAGAGGTGGGGCTACCCCACCCCCACCAGGCAGATGAGTCTCTGCAGATGTCAGGAGGGAGGAGGGTGATGTCTCCTGGTACCGTGAAACCCAGTTCTGCCTTAGGCCTTTGCAGGGTAGGCCATCAGGATGGGAACTTCCCTGTGCCTGAGACACCTACTCTAAGGTCAGCCCAGATAAACCAACCCCAACCCAACCCCAACCCTAACTCAACACTAACTCTAATCCTAACCCCAACCCAACCCCAACCCTAACTCAACACTTACTCTAACCCTAACCCTAACCCAACACTAACCCAACCCAACCCCAACCCTAACTCAACACTAACTCTAACCCTAACCCCAACCCAACCCCAACCCTAACTCAACACTTACTCTAATCCTAACCCAACACTAACCCAAACAAACCCTAACCCTAACCCAACACTAACCCAAACAAACCCCAACCCCAACCTTAACTCCAACCCAACCCTAAACCAATGCTAACCCCAATTCCAACCCTAACCCCAACCCCAACCCTGACACTAACCTTAACCCCAACTGCAATCTCAACCCTAACCTTAACCTTGACACTAACAATAAACCTCAACCCTAACCCCAGCCTCAACCCCAACCCCAACCCTTATCCTCACCCCAACCATCACCCTCACCCTAGCCCTAGCCTCAATACCCCCCTAGCCCAATTGGTTGACCCCATCGCTTTCTTTTCTAACCAAACACAGGGCTGTTGAGGGGAGGGCTCCATGGGGGACACCTGGCCTGTCACTGAGCCCCACACATCACTGGGCTGGGGGGTTACCTATTGGGGATGTGTTGGCCTGTCACTGGTTGGGTGGGGGGCTGGGTTCACCATGAAGCCCACACAGGGGCCCCCAATGGCAGAAGGCAATTCCCACCGGCCACACACAGGCCCAGCTGGCCACTGGAATGCAGACCCCCCACCCGCCCATCTGGCTCCCATCTGTGCCAGACTTCAAAGGCTGCAGCCGGCCACTTCCTCCCGCCTGCCCGCCTGCTGACCAGGGCCAGGATGGCCCCAGCTTCCTCTGTGGGCCCCCCAGGCCAAAGGAAGCCTGTCTGGGGGTCCCAGGACCCCACCCTGCCTGGCCCAGCATAGAACTGCAACAGGCTTCTGCTGGCTCTGCTATGGTCACAACTCCACCAGCCACCCTGGACCAGCACTGACACTCTAGACTTGTGCATCTGGTCCTGAGGATAACATGCTATTCAAATCCCACAATTCCACAGCTGGACACCACAACCTGGCCCAGGTCACCAATCACCTACACCTGTGTGTACATGCAGATACCATGCACATTATTAATTTGGGTTTTTTTTTGAGACAAGGTCTTACTATGTAGCTCAGGCTGGCCTTGATCTTACAGAGATCCACCTGCCTCTGCCTCCTGAGTGCTGGAATCAAAGCCCTGCACCACCATATTATCTTTTGAGGCAGGGTCTCTCACTGAACCTGGAGACCCCATGTGGCTAGGGTAGCCAGCCAGAGAGCCCTGGGGACCCTCCTGTCTCAGCCTCCCCAGCACTGGGGTCACAGGCATGTACCACTGAGCCTGGCTTTTAACATGGATGTTCAGAATTCAAACTCAGATCCTCAGGTTTGCATAGCAAACAGTTGACCCATTCCATGTCTGCCATGACAAATGAGCCACTTTTGTGGGTTTCCTGTCCCAGGGTCGGTCACTGAGTCATCCAGCCCTGTTCATGACAGCAGGGATCCCCTCGTCACCCACCTGTTTGAACTGCTCTTCAAAGGTCCACTCTCCATGGTCTGGTGGTGGCATCTGGGATGTCACATGACTGGGATGGATCGGACTGGGTCCTGGCCTTTCAGGGCCTCCCATAGCCCTGGGGTCCCCTCGGGAAGTCTGAGCAGGCTGGGTCTTGCGCGAGAACAGGCCTGGGGAGCCCAGGCCAGCAGGTCCCAGGGAACCCAGGCCTTCCTCGTCCTCTTCATCCTCGTCCTCAAAGTCATCCTCCTCTTCCTCTTCATCCCCCAGGTCCTCATCCAGTTCTTCCTCCTCTTCCCACTTGGGTTTTCTGAAAACGGACAAGAAACACCTATGGTCATCAGAGAGAGACAGGCACACCCTACTGACACAGCCTCAGTTTCTCCCTCTGCAAGCCAGGGCAACAGCCACTGTCATCACAGGGCACTGGAGGGTCTCGACCCCCCTTCCGCCCACTCAAGCCCCATGTCATCATCCAGGCTCCCTACAAATGGCTCTCTATTCTTTCCTCCAGAACATCCTATCAAAAATTACCATGCCCAGGCCTAGAGGACTGACTCAGCAGTTGAGAGCACTGGCTGCTCTTTCAGAGGACCTGAGTTTGGTTCCTACACCTACGTGGCAGCTAACAAACATCTGTAACTCCAGTTCCAGGGGATCTGACACCCTCTAACACCCTCTTCTGCCCTCCGAGGGCATTGTACAACATGGGTGCACTTACATGCAGGCAATACATTAGTAAATAAGTACTTTTTTTTTTTTTTTAATTATAAAGGCATGGTGACCCATGTCTTTAATCCCAGCATTTGGGAGGCAGAGGCAGGTGGATCACTGTGAGATTGAGGTCAGCCTGGGCTACATACTGAGACCCTGTCTCAAAAAAACTGAAAACCAAAAGCCAAAAAAATTTGAAAAATCATCAATCATCTAGGGTATGTTGGTGCACACCTTCAATCCCAGCACTAGGGAAGCAGAGTCAGGCCCATCTCTGTGAGTTCAAGGTCACCCTGGCCTACATACTGAGTTTCAGGCCAGCTGGGGCTAGAGAGACCCTGTCTCAAAAAGACCAAAAAAACCCAAAAATATTGTTAATTGCTCTCTCCTCCCATAGCACTTGATTTTCTGGGCAGTGTTGACACACCCCAGACCATACCATATCTTAAGAAACACATCTGGGGATCACTGTCCGTGACCTTCAAATGGCTCCCACTTGCACCCAAAGCAATCATGAGATGCCTGGGCCCCCAGACCCTAACTTACTCATCCTCATCAAAGTCCACATTCATCAGATGCCCGTCTCTGTCCGTTTGCCCGGGTCCTTCCTGGGCACGTCCTCCTCGCAGGACAGGTGATCCCAGAGACCCTTCCTGGGCTGTGTCCTCATCCTCTGAGTTGGGGTGCTGGTCTGCAGAGCCACTGGGAGATGCCGGGTTCCCCAGGCCGGCAGCAGCTGCACGCATGGCGGCCAGGGCAGCCATCTGCGTCCTATGCATGCGGGCACTGTCTGGCTCTCTGTCCTCTTCTGTAGGGGCCCCCCGGGCCCGAACACTCGTGGGGGGCTCTGGGGGGGGCTGTGGCTGTCGGGCCTCCAGCTCCTGCCTGGCTCGCTGCTGTCTCTGCAGGAGGGTCTCCATCACCGCCTGCAGTTTCATGGCCCTGCGGCCCGGGCCACCCCGGGCACCAGGGGCAGCCGGCAGGGGTGGCCCCTGTGGGGACGGGTCTCGGCCGCACTGCAGCGTGGGAGCCTCGGGGGAGCCGGGACAGTGCAGGGTGGCCGGGGGTTGGGGTCACGGGATGACTCAGGCCTCTGACGGCCGGTTGGACATGCCAGGGGTTATGGGGGGCATCCAAGGATAGTGGCGGCTGGCAGCTGGCTCATTCAAGTGTTGAAGGACTCCTGGGGGACAGAGAGCAAGAGGTAAGGTCACTGAGGCATCCTTCTCCAGGGAGGCTGGGCCCAAAGACTGATGGGAGAATCCTTCACACCTGTCTGCCACCTAGGAGGGACTGTGGTCACCCATGCCCACCCCAACAGCCAACTGTTAGTCCTAACATAATTGGGGGAGGGGAGTGACCAGGCTTTCCCACCTTCTGATTGGCTGAACCCCACTATTCTGTACCCCAGGGGCCTCCTGGAGTTCTAGGTTCCAGTTCTGAGTTCTAGGAGTTGTTCAGCCTACAGAGGCCCCAAGATGGAGCACTTGCTGTTTATCAGCCCAGGGCCAGCACCCTCCTTTCATGACCCCCAGGCCTCATCTTTGGCCTCTAGGCCTCAATTTCCCCATGTAACAAGTGTCAGGCTGGGCCAGGGAGGAATGTCTGGGCTTTTTTCTTTCTTTTTTTTTTTTTTTCTGTCTTTTTAGGGCAGGGTCTCTCTGTAGCCTCAGCTGGCCTGGAACTCACTATGTAGACCAGGCTAGCCTCGAGCTCACAATGATTTGCCTGCCTCTGCTGGCTACCATGCCCAGACTAAACTGTCTGTTTTTTATAGGTGTTGTAAACAGAGGTTGGAGATTCCTCAACCTGAGGCTGAGTCTGGCGGCCTTCAGTGTCCAGGTTCTCTGCCAGGGACTGGGGTCCGAGTTCCTAGTTTGTAGGGCGGGGTGGGGGGTGTTAATGTCCCACAATGCAACTTGTTCTGTCCCTGTCTCTGGGGTCCTTTTGGGCCCCCTAACAACCAGCAGCAGGACCCAGGCCCCATCTGGCCACACCTGCAACTGACCCAAGCTGCCTATAAACAGTCACAGAGCCCCAGGGGCACTCAGGTGGCCCCCAAATTAAGGGACAGTAGGGAAGGGAGACAGAGGGCCCAAGAGGCCACCAGAGGCCTAACCTGAACCCCAAAGTTCATGCGGAACCCCTAGGGCTGACCACTTGTCTGAGAGAGGCCAGGAGAGCTGATAGTTCCTGGCTGTTCACACTGTACCCATCTGGTTACCTGTCCATCACCCCAAACCTCAAGGTCCTTGTAGGGGACCCACTGGAATCACAGGAGGTCTGTGTGCCCCCTGCCTCTGACACCCAGTTACCACAACACCCCAGGGACTTCTAACTGTAGGGTGGTATGTGTGACCCCACAGGAAAAGGGGGGTCAGAGGATCCTCAAAGCCCCGTTTCCATGCAGGGATCTCACAGATGGGGGTTCTGCCATATACCCAGCCCCTTAGCTGGGCTACAGGTCACTCCATCTACCAAGGCAAGAACTGCTAAGAGGAACACTTCTGGTCACTGTCTATGTGACTTGGTCCACTGCCCCTCCCCCACCTCTGACAACTTCAAAAGCCCAGGCACACCCCCCCTTAGGGAAACACTAGAGGTGGTGCCCCCTCTTTGGGATGGGGCTCCGGGGAACAGAGGGAAGAAGCAAGAGGAAGCCCCCTCCTAGCTGCCAGTCCCCTCCTTTGCAGGGTCTGCTGGGTTTAATGACCCTTCCGGGTTGCTTGGTGGGGGAGGGGAAAAGGGCAAGGCTCCACAGCTGGGGGTGGCGGTGCAGAGGGGCAGGTGGACACCCCCGGAGCTGCCTTTGGTCCAGCTCTGGACATTCCCCCCATTCCCCTCCACGGGTCCCATTAACGCTCAAGCTGACAGTGTAGCCCATCCTGGGAGACCCCTCCCCCCCAGCCCTTTGTCCTTGGCCCCCACCCTGTTTATGACACCGTCAGAGAGAGGAGCCCTCCAGCAAGAGGGGAAGGGAATGGGGTGCTGGGTGGTCTTGGGGGGGGGGCAGGACACAGAGCCACACCCTCATACCCCTCCTCAGGACAGAGAGAGGAAGGAGAGAGGAGAGAGGAGAGAGGAGAGAGGAGAGAGAGAGAGGAGAGAGAGAGAGAGAGAGAGAGAGAGAGAGAGAGAGAGAGAGAGAGAGAGAGAGAGATCACTCGCTCAGCTCGGCCAGGCCTTGCAAAACAGGGTTATTTAAAGTTGTGCAAGGCCTGGGCCCGAGGGTGGCGAAAGGGGCCCCTCGCTCCGAGGGGGGTTGAAGGCAGGAGCTGGAGGGGAGCTGAAAGTGGGCTGGGAGTCCCCCTCCAGGACGATATGTACGAAAACACATTAAGTCTTCAGGAGCCAGAAGAAAAATTTTAAAAAAGCAAATCACCAACCTAGCCCGGATTTCAGGCTTCTTGAAGAGAGTTGGGGCGGGGGTATCCCTGCAGCCCAAGTCCCCAAAAAACGGAAGATCTTTGACAAACCCGCCTGGAGTTGACACACGCGCGCGCCGCGCTTCCTGTCTGGCGACTGCTGGGACCCCAATGGGGGGGCGATCTGGGGTGGTTGCACCCCGGGTTAAAAAACGCGGGGAACTCTGTGTACGCTGCTGCAAGGGATGGAGAACCCCACTGGACACGTGAGGTTTGGAGGAGAAAAAGAACTTAAGGCACCGGGGTGTGGTGCTGCCCCCCCCCCCCGCCCAGCACTCAGGGAAGAAAAGCTGCGGCCGGGGGATGGCGGCGAGTTTCAGGCCAGTCTGAGCTATACCAGGAGTTCAGCGTCAACCTGGGCTACATAGTGAGACCCTTCAAGCACTTAAAAAATATTGAAGACGGAAAAAAAAAAAGAAAAATTCCCAGAAGGCAGTCCGCAACCCGTGCGCGCGCGCACACACACACGGGCCGGTTTCCTTCCGCCGGGTCCCCGGGGAGGGCAGCGCGCACACGCGACCCCCGCGCGTCCCCTGAGCTCTTGGAGACCCGAAGGAAGTCTCCAAGATTCACAGCCCCGACAGCCACCCCAACCCAGATCAGCATACCCCCCAAACCCATGCGCGTCTTTGCCTAACTTTGGAGAGACCTCCGCAATTGTCGGTTTCAAGGGTACCCCAAGGCTGATACTCCTGAAAGTGAGGTGTGCGTGGGGCAGGGAACTATCTCTGGAACCCGCGCTGCAAAGGGTCTTACAATGCGGGGTGGCTCCGGGGGCTCATGCCCGGGGTGCCCAGAGTCCAGCCTGGTGTGGCCTCCAGTGGCCTCTGCCCCTCTTGGCCTCACCTTGGGTATCACCCAGCTGCCCGGTGCGCGCTCCTGGTTCCCGGGTTACACCCGCCTCCCTGAGTCTCCGGGCCGCGTCTACACCTCCATCCGCCCGGATCGGATCAGGACCAGGTCCCCGCGCGCGGCCAGCCCCCCGCCCCGCCCCTCCCCCACCCGGCAGACGAATCGCCTTGTGACAAATTGCTCTCAGATGCAAATACCTCGCCGGTGATTCAGCAGCCCCAGGGACTCAGGAGGAGGTGGTGGGTGTCTCTCCAGGGTACCCCCCACTTTTCCAAGCTTTCCCAGGACGCCTCTCCGGGGTGCCCCCTCGTCTCCAAGTAGATTCCTGGACGCCCAGGGTGGGAGGAGGAGGAGGGGAGCTGGAGAGCGCAGACCGAGTGGACAGAAATTTTCAGGTCGCGGTCCCTTTAAATGATAATAAATAATGAAAGGAAGGGGGAATAGTACTGAGGGACGCTCCGCCCCCTGCTTAAGGGACCGTGCGCAAAGTGCACGCCTCAGCCCTGGTCGCAAAGGCAGCGCACGGGTGGGCGGGGCTGCTAGTGTTCCTTGGACAGTGATTGGAGAGGTTAGGGGGTCCCCACCACACTTCTGAGCCTAAGGTGACCTGGGTTCCCAGTCGTCTCCTCATTTTACCCGGAACGTGAGATGGATCAGCTAAGTGGGCTTGGTTCCTTCCTTCACACTTCCCAAACCCATCCAGCCTCAGTTCCCAAGCTGTGAAATGGACCCCTAAAGTGGGGAGGGACTGGGCTGCGGGGACTGGATGAGGGCCTCCCATGTGGGAAAGTGAGAACCCTGATGACCCGCCTAGGAACCAGGGACAGCGGGGACCATCCTATGAAGGGGGATGCAGGGCCCATTTCTGCTTACCTGGTGCCCGGCTCCATCTTGTGCAGGCCTCTGGGGCCCCGTTTTGCAGGAAGAGAAACTGAGGCACCGTGTGAGCTCAGTTAGGGGATGATGCCACCTCTGTGGCTAATGCCACTACTCTGAAGAGCCCTGCCCCACTCCTGCAAAGTCCTATGGATGGTGTCAGGTCCCTAGTTAGAGACTCGGGCAGTCCTCCTTCAAGACCAATTTTAGGGGGTCCTACCATGCAACTCTGAGGTGGGCAACTACTCCCCCACTCTCTAGGAATCCCAAGTCTGTCGAGGTGCAGGTGGCTTTGGTTGGCACACTCTTCAGTAACTCAAGGCTTGGAACCTGGGCTCAGGTAGGTCATCTCTGCAGGTGGCTTCAGGCCCCAGGGTGAAGCCCAGGTTTGCACCAGGCCCCTTCCACCCCCCAGCACAGCGTAGGCAAAAAACAAACAAAAGCTTGCAACCCATCAGAGCTAAACTTCCTGTCCCATAGGGTGGGCAGTTTGGAAAGATGCCTAGGGGATAGGGGAGCATCTGATCCCACCTCAGATCCTTCCCACTGAAGGCAGAGCTCACAGTTGCCTCCACCTTCTTTTAGCTCAGAGAGGGAGCTTGGAATTGACACAGCCCGGTCTATTGCATGCAGAATCTGTGAAATGGTTTCACGTACCCCAAGTTCATAAAAGTTTTGTTTTGAGACAGGGACTCCCTGTAGCCCCAGCTGGCCTAGAACTCACTATGTAGACCAGGCTGGCCTTGAACTCACAGAAATTCGCCTGCCTCTGCCTCCCAAGTGCTGGGATTAAAGCCACCACACTGGGCTGACAATATTTCTTTTCTTAAATTGTATTTATTTTATTTCTATTTTCTCTGTGTATGAGTGTATTGCCTGCATGTGGCATATGGATGTAAGCAAGCACACCCATGTCCTGTGGCATGGATGTCAGAAGGGAAGCGGATCCCCTGGAACTGGAGTTACAGGATGATTGTTAGCCACCATGTGGGTGCTGGGAGTTGAACCCAGGTCCTCTGCAAGAGAAGTCAGTGCTCTTAACCGTTGAGCCATCTCTCCAGCCCCCATATTTCTCAAGTAATTAAATTTTATTTATTGGTGTGCTTGTGTGCCTGATGTGTGTGTTGCAGGGGAAGGGGGGAGGGAAGAAGGCTGCCATGTGAAAGTACGGAGTCAGTTCTCTCCTTCTACCTTTATGTGGGTTCTGGAACTCAGATCATTAATGGCTTGTGCACCAAGCACTTTTACCCAGTGAGCCATCTTGTCGGCCCCTAAAATAATATTTTTTCATAGAAAATATTGGCAAGCCTGGTGTGGTTGCACAGGCCTTTAATCCTAGCACTTAGAAGGCAGAGGCAGGCGGATCGACCTAGCCTGGGCTACATAGTGAATTCCAAAGTATCTGGGACTACAGGGAGATCCTGTCTCAAAAAAAAAAAGGCTCTAGAAATTCACAGTACATATCTACTGGTCCCTTTTAACGTCAGAGACATTTATAGCGGGGTCCACACAACTCAAAAGAAACATTTCATGGTTTTCAAAGAGCAGGGTTGACTCTTGGGGTGCGCGCGCCACCTTCCGGGCGCCGCCCTCACTGCAGCCTGTAAGGCTTCGTGGGGGCGTGGCTAAAACTTAGTGGGCGGGGCTCCTCAGCCAATAGGCTAACCAAGCACCAGTGGCGCCAGGTGGAGCCGCTGCACCTGAAAGGCGAAATATCCAGGCTATTAGACTTGGGGAAACTGAGGCTGGAAAGATTATTTTCTTCTTCACAGTTTTTTTTTTTCAAATACGCTGGCAATGTGTAGCCCACGTTGGCTTTACATTCACGATTCTTCTGCCTCAGTTTACCACCAGGCTGAAATTACATGCAAATGGGCACCACACCTGGAAATGTGATTTTTAAAATTTTCTTTAAAAATGTTTTATTTGGGGCTGGGGAGATGGCTTAGCGGTTAAGAACGCTGGTTCTTGCAGAAGACAGGGGTTCAAATCCCAGCACCCACATAGCAGCTAACAACTGTCCATAACTCCAGTTCCAGGGGATCCAATAACCTCTTCCGTCCTCTGCGGGCATTGCATGACACGGGTGCAGGCAACACACGCATATACATAAAACTTTGAAAAATGTTTTATTATTTTATGTGTATGTGTGTATTGCTTGCATGTATCCACAATTACACTCATGTCATGCAATGCTGTGAGTTCAGAGTCAAAACTGAAGTTACAGACAGTTGTTAGCTGCCATGTAGGTGCTGGGAATCAAACTCAGGTCCTCTGTAAGAGCAGTCAGTACTTTTTTT